GCCATGGCTAACAGAATGAAACTGAATATAACCCCAACACATGTCCCAAAACTTCTTCAAAAGACACTCAGAAATATTTCATCCTTAAACCCTGTGTGACATCAGGTTTATATTAGAAAACTTCCTGTTTTTCTAAATCGAAAACAGTGTCCACGATGACTGGAATGTGATCAAGGAAAGACCCCCCCCCCACACACACACAGACACTGGCGGGATATCTGTTATTGATCACGTCAATATATACACATTATACATAATTACATTATATGTAAAGTAAATACATTATAAAAATATAATGCCTGTGGCTTATATATAATGACCAATTAAAACGAGTAAGAAAAACAAAAACTCTTACAAAAACGTATACAGAACGCTGGGCTGGTAGGGGTGGAATTGTTGTGCCACGTATATATGACATTGGTCCTGAACGGTTTAAGTGTTTTCAAAACAACATTGTTGCCCAGGCGTCAAACAGATATTACAGCTTTATAAGTTTTTAAATGTTTAATGGTATCGGTATCAATTTATAAAAATTCATTTTAAAATACAGTCGAATCCGGTTAACCTGACCAGCTGCTTTTTCGGACCAAATCCTAAAGAACCGAAACAATACATAAGCCTAATATTATTCACTTATTTGGACCAAAATTCCATTTAATCGGACCAAAAAACGTGAAAGCGAATAAGAAACAGAAGCCACAAGTCGGCCACGTACAGTGGATGTATAGGTGGTCTGCGACATATAGGAGGATTTGTAGTTGCGGCTTCCCAGGAAAATGCTTTATCAAAGGTCAGGAATTCCTTAAAGTGCATGACAAAAGTAAAACCGGTGGGAGGTGAACACGCGCACCATTTTCTTATACCTTTCTGATGCAAAAGCAAAGTTTAAAGGTATAAAAAACATTTAGCAAAAATAGCAATAGAAGTTCCCTAAGATTATGTATTGTACAGACATAGATGACAAAAATATTTTTAAACTTAACCAATTTATTAACAATATATATAGAAATAAAAATACAATAAATAAATTTGATCAATACCAGAAACTTAAAGGGTGTAACATAATCATTGTCAAAAAATCACACTCAGTTAACTATTCATTAACCCCAAGGGTTTTTCCTTTAAAGAATATTGCACTATTAATGATACAGTAAATATATTACCTGTTCTATGAATACTGGCATTCAATTACTCGCAAAAAAACACAGAAAAACTATCGATTAATTTGAATATCATTTGACTAAAAAGGTCTATGCTTTTGGTCAAGAAGGCACCTGAAAAATTAAATTAAACCTTGAATGCACTTGAATTGGTAAATGCCGCTCACTGCAGTTGCTTACAGGAAATCATAGCTGGGAAAAACATCGCCGCTAGACCTGAAAAACGCTTGTGTTAAAGATGCCGCCTTCAGCAGTTGCTCATTGGAAACCACAACTTGAGATTTATTGCCGCTCAATCTTGGAACAGGATGCCGCCCACTGCCGTTGATCACTGGGAACCACAACTTGAGATTTGACACCTCTTAGCCATGGAACAGGATGCCGCCCACTTCAGTTGATCACCGGGAACACAGCTTGGAATTGGATGTTGCTCAATCTTGGAAAAGCCAACATGGCCCGGAACCACGATAATTATCGCTGGACGACAAGCATCGCAATAACGTCTTCCAATTAGCAGCACACCAGGAGCAATGAAAAACAGGAACAAGAAGGACTAAGCCAGAGCGATGCGAGATACTTATACATGAAGTAGACATGACGTCATCTCATGGCAGCCAATCAGCTGTTGGCACAACTCAGCTTTCCAGATGATGTAACCTTGAGTTTCGATTTTGCATCTTAATTAGGCTGAAAGAGTCCGTTCTTAATACAAACAGTGACAGTGAAAGAGAAGTAGAAGTAATTGCTATATCCCTTTAAAATAAAAACTAAACCTCGTGTAAAAATTAGAATTATTTCAAGGAGGAGAGGTGAAGCAGAAAAAGGGTTACAATAAGCCATATTTTCAACACTTTCTTTGACCTGTGCCTCCGAGTTTTGAGGAAATGAACAGTAGAGTGTCCGTCTCCACCTGAAAGGAATTGTCACCTGTCAAATCATGATTAAAGTTTACAGGAGAAAGCTATCATTTCATCACCTCTTTGGGATAATTTTAGTGCCAAAGCTTTGAATGGCGAGCATTTTATCTCCCTCTTAACCTCAACATCTTGAACTCGAAAGAAGGTTTCTTCAGACCACTTTAGTCAGTGATCTGTGCGCGTGTCTTGTCTCCCCTGCCAAAATGCCACGACTGGACTTGACGTTAGTTGAAAAAATTGGTTTCCTGGATAAGATCAAGCAACAACCACGAAACGCCAGCATTGGTTGGTGGAAATAACTGGAATGGCAAAGACTACAATTTCTCTTGATAAAACAAGAGAATGAGCTGCAAGAAGAATGAGCACAATGTGAAGGACGAGGAGGAACTTCAAAAAAACGGAAGCGTGAAGGCAATGACCCAGATGTCAATGAGGCCCTTAATGAATGGTTTGCCATTGTTACTGGCTTACTGTTTGAGTAAGCAACCCAATGTTAAAATGCAAAGCAGAAGAACTTGTTAAAAGCTGGGCCACAATGACTTTAAAGCTACGGACGGTTGTCTCGATGGAAATTTAGACATGACATAAAATTCAAGAAAGCACATGGCGAGAAAGAAAGTGCTGATAGTGCAAATGCCTGAGGAATGGAAATCAACAAAACTGCCCGAGCTTCTTGAAAATTTTTCAGCTGATGACATCTACAATGCTGATGAGACTGGGCTGTATTATCGTGTCACACTGGACAACTCGTTAAGTTGCAAACATGTTGCACTCTCTGGCTCTAAAAAAGGAATGGATCGCGTAACTGTCTTTTGCTACTCGGACATGTCGGGAATGGACTGGAGGAAGCTGTTGTGTTGGTTATAGGAAAAAGCACTAAGCCTCACTGCTCTAAAGGACTTAGGATGGAGAGTTTACCAGGTGTGTATTGTGCGAACAGAAATGAGTGGATGACCTTTGAACTTTTTAAAGAATGGCTGAAAGATTGGGACAGAGAGCTACAACGCCAGTCGAGAAAAGTGCTGCTTCTTGATAATTGTGCAGCCCATCCTCATTTAGATTGCTTGATGAACGTCCGACTGGAATTTCTACCTTCAAGGACCACAGCTTTGGTCCAGCCAATGGACATGGGCATCATAAAAAATTTTAAGACCCTTTATCATGCAAGGTTGGTTGGTTAATTACATACTTGAAGCAATTGAAGAAAGTTTGCTGACCTCATTGTCAAAAGCCAGCAAAGTCAGTGCAAAGGTCAACATCTTACAAGCAGTTACATTTGTGGCCGACAGCTGGCAAAAAAATGAGCAGTGAGACAATTCAGAAGTGTTTTTCTCACTGTGTTTTTATGCTCTTGGTTTTGGAGATGGATGTGGACATGCTCATTGAAAGTGAAAATGATGATTTACATGTGAAACTTCAACAACAGGTACAAAATTGCAAAGAATTTTTACCCGTTGACAATGAGCTTCAATGCTACGGTAAAAATGAAGATTACGACGCTGCATTCGTTGCTCGAGTTGCAGCAAAACACGACAGCATCGGAAGACCAAGAAAGTGATGATGGTGATGCCGCTAATAAGTTGGTGCAAGTAACAACACAGGATCAGAAGAAATGCATTGAAACTTTGCATCGGTATTTCATGTAGGAGGAAAATGAGGGCAGTCCCATTGCTGCATTAGAAGTTTGTGGCGATTTTGTTCACGTGCAATCCGTCAAGAGAACACGTTAGATCACATTGGATAAGTTCTTCAAATGTTGACTGGAACTTGGTAAGAACTTTTTTTTATTGTGCTTCGCATGCTGAGTATCATAGAGATTGTTTCTTATAATTTGTTTCTAAATTAATTTTCTCAATGAAAAAAGTTTTGACTCTAGTTCTTGTTTGTACATGTATGTTCATCATACGTGTGTACCGCACAATAAAGGTCATAATTACATTTTAGTACATGATTTACATGTACATTTACTATTTGCTACATATAGCATGTCCCGTCTTGCAACATAGGACATGTTCGTGTAATCGTACCAGCCGGTTATTAGGACCAAAACGATCACTTCCCGATGTGGTCCGATTAACCGGAATCAACTGTATATCATTTGTAAATAGCAAATTTATAGCTAAAGGGAGTGAAGTCATTCAGTAGTTTCATATCTTTGCTATTTAAGTATGTATCTTCACTAAAAAGTAATACAAATGTGTCCTACTATAGAATCATTAGGTTAGTTTGAAGCAGGAAATGTGAAAAGTGAGCAGTGTCCTTGCTGAGACTCCAAACCTGGACTTCTTAAATTATGTGCCGAGTGTGCTCCCGTTACACCACGAACCCACGCAGAAAGAAGAGAGAAAATACCTTATATACTCCCTTTTTTAAAGGACGATTGGATTTTAGTTGCCAAATCCTGGTAGTGACGAATCATCATCCACCATCTTTTTTAGTTTAGACAACACTGTAGAGACATTAGGTTATTACGAAGCAGGAAACATGAAAAATGAGCAATGCCTTTGCTGGTCTCGAACCTGTACCTCTCGAATACATGTTGTCGAACAAGTGTGTTACTGTTACACCATGAAGGCATGCAGAAAGGAGGAAGAAAATACCTTATACTACATGATTAAGGATATGTGATCTGAAATCTTTTTTATGATTGGGATATGTTGTTTCAGGAATTTTTTGGAGAACTGGAAAAAAAATAAGCATGAAACTTTAAGCACATCTGTATTACAAAGAATGAAATTAAAATTTTTAGTATTTAAAAGTCTGGATGAAAGCATTAATGTAAAATGAAAAAGACAGAATTCTTTAGAGCCTACTTCAATTTAAACTTGGAAGTGGTGATGTTGGCTACCATATTATAGTTATCAAATTTAATAAATGTTGACTGGGGATACATTTTTTATGTTTTGTTTTTGTATTTTAACAGGAAAACTCTTCTTTGTATTTTCTCTCCTATATGGAGTAAAGTCACAAGGAAGCAAGATTTATTGAAGACTATATCTCTCTACTTTAACAAGTTTCCTGTGATAACAAAAGATTATGCAGAGGTTTTTAAAACAGTATGCAAAGTTGCTTCTGAGCCTTGGAGAAACTCTTTCTTTCTTTGGGATGATTTATTTGAATCAAACTTAACTATCGAAGATACAGAAGGTAAATATAAAAATTGAGATTTATATTTTTTTATTACTGCATTATAAATCTGTACATTAAAGTTGCTTTAATACTGAAAATAGTTGTAAGCATTTTTTAGTTGTTTTTAATATTGCTTTCAAAACTAATAATATTGGGACTTACTATGTAAATATTGTTAAATCTTGATTAGTTTGATTTAAATTTACACTAACACATTGATCTTTTTCAATAAATATTAAAATTGTTTGGAGATATATGATGATTTGAAAAGGTGTAGTTAAAACTATTTACTTACAGATATCCTTAACCACTTGCACTCCGACTGAATTTCACGGTTGCGGTGCCATGCACTACAATATAACAAGCGGTAAAGTATCTCATTTACGCCGCCCCGCATCTGCGAGTGCAATCCAGAGCGGTAACTCGAGAAATAAACAATCTTGGTGTTAGGCAACATTTGCACCACATTATTTTCATTTTTGCACACGGTTTGAGACAAAAGCATCTCGACGTGCCGAGCACGTCTTTTTAGCGCAAGTGGTTAAAATGTCATGCCTATAAGTAACACTGCTTTTTTGAACTTGGTATTATAGTAGCATTAAGCTTATTCCAGTTTTGATTATGTACATGTACACATGTGGCTCTTTCAGCCAAAAAGTTTATTTATGAAATGACTAATGGTAAACTTGAAGAAGCTTAACCACTATATGTTTTTTCAGTTTAATTGCAGTTATAATATAACTACTGCAACTGCAGATGTCAGTGCAATTTATGCAAATCTTTTAAACATTCCAAAGTTCAAAAGTAGTTCTACAGATTATGTAATAGCAGTTTTGCCTCTTGAAGATGTCTTGAGAGAATGGGACTATTACCTTTGCCATTATGGCATTTCACCTTTGGGCCAGTTTGCTGTCAGGCCAATTTGCCATTGACATATTTTTCTATACATGCTTATATATCTTGACATATAAAGTTAATTTAGTATGATTTTGTTTACTTACAACACTTAAGGCCTCTACTGGGCCTCTCTCATTCTACTGAGCCTCTTGTTTAAATTTTTAAAGAAAAAAGTTTTCATAATTAAACAAATTTTTTAGGATTACTTAAATACAGTCAAAAGTCGTTAATTCGGACACCCATAATCTGGAATGATCTATAATCCAGACCTCAAAGCTAAAAATTTTCTGCGCATGCGCCGCATTGACACATGTGCATAGGCATTTACGCGTGCGCGTAAGACCTTTACGACGGTGCATATGCGTGTGCGCAAGCGCAGAATACGTTTTCGCGTGCGTGTTTAATGTATAATGGACGGTATAAGCTAAAATTATCTAATTATCTATTTCAGTTAATGTTGATGATTGCGTTGTTCCTTAATCTTCGAAGTGGATCCGGCTTATTATTTTTTGCAGACTGTAAGAGCAATTTTATAAAAGTAAACTTGAACTTTCGATTTTGTCAAATAGAATTTCCGATGCTGGAGCTCCCAAAGGATCTACAAAACGAAAGTATGTTTCGATGTCCATCAAACAAAAAGGGGAATTGCTGCAAAAAATGGATAAAGACATGAAGAAGGTGACAGAGAGGTTAGTGAAAACGGAAAAATTTCGATTGACAAGTTAGTCGGTATTCTCGGCACAGCAATTATGGGATTTGAACAGCGGAACTTTGTAAACTGAACAAGAAAATTATGTCTGTTTATGGAATTAAAGAGAAAGTATTATCACATAAAACGAAGCAACTTACAACTTACATTGAAAGAAATGTTTAATAAAGTAAACAAATAAATATTAAGCTTTTTCTTTTTTGTAAATTTTGATACCCTTTAGATCATAATTGTTCTTTATTTCATAAATTAGGGTTTCATATTTTTAATTTTAGATGATCTATAATCCGGAAAAATCGATAATTCGGAATCGCCGAAGTCCCGGATTAACGACTTTTGACTGTATTACCTTGAAATTCATTTAGGGGATTAAAAAATTTCAGAGGGAAGAGATACTTATTATGAACAATGAATGGGTGGTAATCTTCCATCTTAAAATTGAAAAAAGTATAAGCTAGCTGATAAAAAAAGTTTGTCATTAGTTATTTTAAAAAATGATCATATAGCAGAGTATCTCAGGTTTAGCTCATAATTATGAAATGAGATAATTTTGTTGTATTTGATATTGACATAATTTTCTAACTCTGTGTAATTTCTTTGTGCCCACATTTGTAAGCAAGTAATTTATATATTATAAGCAACCTTTGTTAAGTAATCTATTTCTGCTTGATGGCAAAATGGCCTATGGTGAATCAGCTGCCAAAAGTTTGTCTTGTCAGCAAAGAAGCAGTGGTAAAACGACAATGGCTGAAAGTCCTAGATCCTCTTAAGAAAGGTTGTTCAATTCCATTTGATGAAAGCATTTTGTGGGCTGTTGTGGAAGAAGATCTTCACCAGACATTGAAGAAATTAAGAAAGAATAAATGTTTCTTGATCAATAGTTCAAACTTTAAATTCTTTCAGGAGTTTCTAATTTTTAGTATATTGTTACTCCATTTGCTCTGTTTTGAGAAAATGCCAAAGTCCTGCATCTGCAATTCCTCAGAAATCTCCGTTTCGTCTATATTGTCTTGCTTTTTATGGAATGATAAATGTTCTGTAGGCAAATTATGTAAAAAAGTCATGATAAGGCTATTATATGAAAGATGTTCATTCCTCAAAAATATAAATATTTAAAAAAAATAATGAAAGACTGCTATTAAAAGATTTTTATTCAAAATACATAAAGAAAAGTGGAAATTGTGTGAAACAAAATTTATGCCTTTTGTATTAAATGAAACAGAATTTTCGTATAAAAAAATAAGAAATTATAAGTAACCTATTTGTAGCAGTATGGAAGGCTTGAATGACATTCTGAATTCACTTCATTACTTTTTCACTTAGGAACATTTCATGAGCATACACTTGATGAATCCTTGGCCACTTCCATTGGACAGGGCAACTGTTGAGTTTCTCTCTGACCAGAGAGGAATTTCATGTTCAGGAATTTCTTCAGGTCTAAGCAAGTTCTTAGAACATAAAAATCTATGATCTCGTATATAGTTGTTTTAAGATTCTTTCAGAAGTTCGAAGTCGGTAGAAACTGTCCTTTGTCACATTCAATATAACTATAAACAATATATTGCATAAAATATTATATATTTTTTTTATGCACTGTATGTACTATGAATATGTATTTCTTACTTTGGCAGTTTGACATCTGAGATTCTGTAGAATGCCTAATAATTATTTATATATGCTAATATTTAATTGTTTCATATATTGTCAGTTAGTTTCTGGCATTCTGTGAAAAGTGCAGGTATTCTATAGGATGTCGGATTTCAATGTTTACTAGTAACGTGCACACACACATGTAGTATAAGCAAAAAGAATTGTTGAAACTATGCCTTTTGCTGCTGCAAATAATAAAAACTATTAAATTTTTTGAAGAAATGGTTGAAGTTTAAATTAAATTCCCTACATTATGAAGAGCAAGTAAAAAGGCATTTTTTATTTGACAGTAAAATTAAAATCAAAACTATCCTTGATGATTTAAATTAAAATTGGAAAAAGACAAACTATAGAAATGTAATTGATGTTGATCTCCTTTCTATGGTCTCCTATGGCTTCTCCCTACTGACAACTGCAGAAGAAAGTTGAAATTTATTATATTTCTACATTTTATTCGTTTCTTAATTTGAATTACAGTCAAAAGTCGTTAATCCGGACTCGTCGGGACTTCGGCGATTCCGGATTATAGATCATCATTTTAAATCTGGTAAAATGGCATGCAGAAATTATAAAATTAAAAATATGAAACCGTAATTTACGAAATAAAGAACAATTATGATCTAAAGGTTATCAAAATTTAAAAAAAAAGCTTAATATTTATTTGTTTACTTTATTAAACATTTCTTTCAATGTAAGTTGTTTAAGTTGCTTCGTTTTTTATGTGATAATACTTTCTCTTTAATTCTATAAACAGACATAATTTCTTGTTCAGTTACAAAAGTTCCGCTGTTCAAGTCCTATAATTGCTATGTCGAGAATACCGAGTAATTTGTCAATCGAAATTTTTTCGTTTTCAATAACCTCTGTCACTTTCTTCGCTATCCGAAGCGAATTATAATGACGAGGCATTTGATTTAAATCATATCAAAGACGAGGTGAAATACTACATTGAATAAGCAATTATAAGCCAAATAAAATAAAAACATCTGCCCTTAAGATAAGGATAGTGCTGACAGATCAACTTCCAATTCATTGCACGCCGCTGCCTGCCGCGTTAAAGATAAACAAAGTTTAGATAAACAAACGTTAAAGTTTAGATAAACAAAGGATATGCTTTTATCAATTTTTTGCAGCAATTCCACTTTATATTTAATGGACTCCGAAAGATACTTTCGCTTTGTATATCCTTTACATATTAGTAAATATATATCGGAAATTCTATTTGACATAATCGAAAGTTCAAGCTTACTTTTATAAAATTGCTCTAACAGTCTGCAAAAAATAATAATCCGGATCCAATTCGAAGATTAAGGAACAACGCAATCTGCAATATTAACGAAAATAGATAATTAGATAATTTTAGCTTAGCTTATCCCGTCCGTTATACATTAAACGCGCATTCGTAAACGTATTTTGCGCACGCGCACATGCAAATTCGCAGCGGTGAAGGACTTACGCTTCAACGCGACGCATGCGCAGAAAATTTGTACCTTTGAGGTCAGGATTATAGATCATTCCGGATTATGGGTGTCCGAATTAACGACTTTTGACTGTATTAAGAACTTTTTAAAATTTTATTTCTGATATTTCTTTAAAAACTATATGCCCATTTTTGTGTGTCTGTATTTATGTATAATGCATAGATATTAAGGGATCTTTTTAATTTTATGAACAGAGTGCAATAATATCATCGGATTTAAAAGTAAAGAAGGATATACATTTATTTTTTTTTCAAAATATTAAATACTTTTTGAATATTTCTGTGCACCAAATATTTTGTGATCAGATAGATGAGTATATATAAATATTCATTTCTAATAACTTTTCAGTTCAAGACTATTTTTTGTCTGAGCCTGAAGAAATTGTTTTGGCTCGAGTTCATTCCCTTGTCATACGAAGAAACGAGAAGGGGGCAATGATGCTTGCAAAGACTTCATTTTTATACCACAGTCGTGTATCAAAACATTTAGTGTTATCCTCAAGAAACAAAGCAAATATCCAGCATTTCCATGTAGGAAGCAAAAAACAAAATGGCCGTGCATCACTGGATTGGTATTTGTTTTTCTTGCAGAAAATGAAAACTATTTCTTCTCTTGTGAGTGAGGTAAGTTGTATTTGCCTTCTAAAAAAATTTGTTCAGATGATATAGATAATTCACTTTTAGAAATGTATATGAAAAACTTTGGATAAATTTACATGTAACTATTAAATTAATATGTCTGACACCCACTGATGACCGAGTGTTTGATACATGTGATATTATTTTTATAATGTTTTAACTAAAAAACTCTAGAAATTGAGTATTATGATCCTAGAGACAAATAATATATGAATTAAAAAAAATACTCTTGCCCATTGATCTGTGGGTGATAGTCGCACTGCGAAACAAGCACGTGTCTAGAACTTTGAAACTTAGGTAGTAGGTAAAAAAAACTTACCTTTTTCTGTGTGTATTTTCAATAAAAGACAGAATTTGTGACTAAAAAAATATTTAAGAATTGCATTATATATTAATTTTTACATTATTTTACAATGTAAATAGTCAGAAAAAATGAACAAAATAAACATTTCTGTAATTTTCCTATAACAGTAAAAGCATAAGAACATACATGACCAGGGTGTTTGAATAAATGGATAAAAAACTCGGTAAATTAAGAATAAAAAAATCTGATGTGTACATCACATGACTTCCTTGTACAGAATATTAAATTATACACATTTTTTTCATGAATTTCATTAGAGATGTATTTCTCATTCAATTAATTCAGGTCTCACTTCCTGACAAGGCAAAAATACATAAAACCTTAAAATGTCTTTATTAAAAATTGAAAAAATATAAAACACAGTTTATATTTTTTCAACATACAGTTTATAAAACACAGTTTATATTTTTTTAACAGTTTAAACAATTAAAAAACAGTTTTTACAATTAAAATTAGATTTTCTATGTAAAAATAAGTAATTCGGCCAGCAGGCAACAAGGCAGATTTTTCGGTGCACAAAATTCAAAGTTTACTTTCGGCCCGACTCGGCACAGCAGTTGCAGAAACTGACTTAATTCACTATTCTGCTAAGTTTCAAGTGCAAACAAATATAGTTTCTCTGGAAGGAAAAAATTAGGCTTAGCCGCATTTAAGCAACTTTGAAATTGCTGATAATTCTACAACAATTGCATATAGATTAACTAATGGCATAAAAACCGTAGACAAGAACTATGTAATTTAATCACTTTAAGGCAAAAAATGCGCAATGTACACTGCGAAAAAAAAAAGACTGTTCTATAGCTCCTGTTCTATTGGGCCAATTCACAAAATTCAAATTGCATTTTTCATGTCTTGAAAGCATTACTTAGAATATATATTAGATTTATATATAGCACTTTTCTAACATAGGTATTTTGATACAAAATCAGACTTTTTCTGAAATAACATACCAATTTTTTTACATCTTTCAATTCTACGACTCAAATTATGTCAGACTGCCAAGTTTTGTAAAAATCGTACGAGTAGTTTTTAAAAAATTAGCTCTCAAAATTTTACCTCCTCAATCAATGTTAATTGAATTTGGCATATATTTATTAATATCTCTTTTTTTTTATTAAACTTTTTTGATTTTTTTTAACATTTCAAAATTTAGGTCCATTCCATATAAAATTCACCCATTTTTTGTGTTTTATTTTTTTAATTTCTATTTTTAAATAATTTTTGTAAATTTTGTGAAACAAAATTTGAATTATAACCTATAAAATTTTTACTGTCTTCTTAAAGTAGGTGTAGTTCTAAGCATACCTGCAAAAAATTAGAGTGTTTTTATTCAGAATTTTCTAAGATGTACACGGATTTACATATTTTGCCATTTTTAAATTTTGCTTTTTTTTTTCGATAACAACACCAAATGTGGTTTATGGATTTTTTTCCTAGTGAATTGCCACTGATATTTTTAACTTTAAATTTCAAATAAATTATTAGGAAGAATTAATTATATGAAATTTTCCCCCTTGTGATGTGTAATAAATATTTATTAATACTGTATGAAAAGCTATTTTATTTAATATAGATGATGAATTTTTTTTTTAATTTCCGTTTTTCTTCCTTTTTAAATCCAAAGGGATTTGAGTCCCGAAGGACTATTACTTTCGTTTGGCATTTTGCATTGGACTCCTATAAGTGCCGATTCACTTTTCAAACTGTTACCACAAAATGTTGGAGTCCTGCATTATATTTGAAGAAATTAAATAATGAAAAATCTGCATAAATGTATGTGTATTTCTTACATTATGATAAAACAACAGTATCTAGAGCCATCTAATTTTTAATGGCGTAATCCTACTTTGAATATGGGCATCTAAAATCCCAAATTTCTAATTTGTTTTATTATCGATTTCATATTTTGTAAAACTTTAAGGAATTTCTGAGTAACAAATTCAACAATTTAAAACCGAGCAATGGCAATACTCGACGGGGGGTACACCTTTTTATCTCCTGCGCGTCGAACTGTGTATCGGAAATTCTAAAGATATGCTCATTTTAAAATTATTTTGCGACATTGCTATTGAACTAAATTTTATGGTTTAAGTGCAAAGAACATAATATTTAATAAACAAAGGTAACACACAAAACGTTAACAAAACGGCCCTTTAGACGTAATTTAAAAGCTGACACATTTCAGATTTTAAAAAAAATATTTGTAAGAGTAAATTTTTACCTTCGCCGTGTTATCGTCTGCTACTTTACTTCAACTGCATTTAAATTCAATTGTCTAAAACTGAGAAAGTTCGTTTGATATTTATTTTCACAATGTTTTTAGCAAACAGGACGTTAATTGTGTTGGCAACCGCCGTTGATTCCCCTAGTGCATGCGCGTGATAAGCAAGTTCTCTGCTGCGTAATACTTTTCTTTGTAGTTAGCCAACGTCATCACATGTAAGTGAGAAGTGCTAAGCGCTGTGTAATATCATGTTTTTACTCATTTGTTCAGCGTCTTCATAGCTTAAATAAATGTTTGTCATGTATATGGAAGATGTCATTTTATTCTTCAATGGTCGTGGGCCCAGACAGTACTTAACTGTGCAGCCCAACCACCATTGTTAAATTCTTTCGGCAAGCCAAGCTGTGTCGACTGAAATGAAAATGATGACGACAAATACAGTTTCAATTGAAAAACTAAACAATGACAACTTTGACACGTGGAAGCAATACTGATTAAAAATGATCATTGGGACTATGTAATTGGGAAAATTCCGAAACCAGAACCTGGTGATGAAGGATTTACTAAATGGAAAACTAATGACCAAAAAGCACAAGCGGATATAATCCTATCCATCTTACCCAGTGAACTTCCACAGGTAAAGAATTGTGTAACATCTCGTGAACTATGGAGTAAATTGCATTCTATTTACGAATCGAAAGGACCAGCTAGAAAGGCCACAATTCTAAAAAAATTGCTTTTTACAAAAATGAGTGATTCTAAACAAACAATTGTTCATCTAAATGATTTTTTCATTCTTATGGACAAACTGAAAGGAATGGAAATAAACATTGCGGATGATTTGCTTACAGCCATCGAATCTCATGATGAACTGCAACCTCCAGAAATGCTAAAAATTAAACTGTTGGAAGAAGCTAGCTCTCGCAAAAATAAAGATGCATTGTTTTCTGAACAACAACATGTGTTCTATTCAAAAGATCGGAAGCATACTCAACGACTGCTTCCTAAACTGAAACGAGATAAGTCTGCAAACCAAAGACAGTAACTACGGATGCAACTTCTGTCATATGTATGGGCATAGAGCATTGAAATGTAAGAAGAAAAGTAAAGAAATTAAAAGTAAACGCCTTAAAGAGACTGCAATGTCTGCAGAAAATTGGTCCTTGGAGCAAGAAAAAGCCGTATCATGCACAAATAGTAATTCTAAAGACAATTTTTGTCTGGATAGTGGTGCAACATCGCGTATGTGTAACAGCAAGGAACTGTTCCAAGAAATTCAAGAGGTAGGTGATACTTATGCTAAATCAGCTGCTGATAAAATACTTAAATCTATCGGAAAAGGAACTGTTAAATTTAAAGTTCGTATGGGTTCTAAAACCGAAAATATGAAACTTAAAAATGTATTATGTGTACCTACCTGATTTGAAAAACAATTTAATCTCAGTGTCTAAAGAAACTGCAAATGATCTTTCAATAATTTTCAAAGAAAAATGTGCTCAAATAATTAATTCTAATAACGAAATAGTAATTTTAGCTAAAAGCGAAAATGATCCTTACTTTGTCGTGTCAATATTTGAATCTGTATCAATTGCTAAAGAAATAGATCAGTGGCATATAATATTTGCCATTTAAACAAAAATGATCTTAAAAAACTTCAATTAAATAACATGGGTAGAGGTCTTTCTTTTTCTAAAAATGACTATCTTTCTACTTGTAGAGAGGCTATCATTTCCAGGGACGCACACGCTTACCCGGGACAATTCCGAGAAACGAAATTCTAGAACGACTGCTTTAAGCGGGAGGCTTCCGAGAAATGTTTCGTCTAGCTAGGAGGAACATGTCCTGGCTACGAGCAACATTTTAAAACTTTCCCAAAAATGTTCCGGCTGGAGACGTGTTCCTCAAACGTTCAACCAATCAGACGAAAGTTCTGCTTCTGTAGGATCACGGTAACTTTCAGTATGGCGATGGCTCTCACTGTGAAGTTATGGACCCTGGAAATAGAGGCCGATTTAATTATTGCTGTTTTGTTGTAATAATATAACTGCGTGAATCATTTTTAAAATGTTTATATATTCATTAAATGTATAATCGTGGAAATATCAGAGTTGACAGTATTTTACAACGTTCTTGCAGTTCAAATTTGTTTACACATTGTTCATCGCCAAAAGTTCTCCAAATTTGTTGTATTTCGTGCTGATCGTGTATTATCACTTATATAATAGAATTTTATTTCTTAAATTTAAGTTGAGTAATTTTTTTTAATTCGTTTGTATGGCTTTTCTCCTAGTTACTTAACTTTTAAATTGTTAATTGCATAATCAGTGACACATTTTAAACAGCATAAAAGGTGCATAAAAAAAGAAAAACATAGTTTATGTAATAATGAGAATACTC